CGGTTATTACTGTAAGTTTAATTCCCTTAATGTTGATACCTTTTTTATTATTCTATTTTTATGATTTATTTACAAGATATCAGCCACAAAAAAATAATTGCTGAATGTGTTGAGTGTTCCCAATGATATATAATCATTATGTGTTACTATTATTTATATAATAATAATCATACTTAAGGAGTTGAAGGTGACTCGGGGGAAGGATTTATCTCAGTAAGGTGCTGGTAGGGGTCTTGACCGTACTTCCGGGATTGCTCTGATAGCCGTGGGATGCCTTTCCTTCCCCAAGCAGCTCAACGTATGTTTCCCCCGTGTCGCTACATGCAAGCGGCCGTTTCCGGGGCCCATTAATTGAGTTTGCCAGTCACCCCCTGCCTGTTTATCCGTATGTATCAATATTGGCCAGGGGCAGGGGCCATAGTATTTCCATATTTTTCATCCACTAGTGCATAGCAACCCATACCCATAACCCTATCAATTTTTACCACATTTCACAATAATCCTGCATCAACCGGTGATTGTCCTTGGGTGCACTTTAATAGTGCATACAGGGATAATTGCCGGCTGATGTCCCATCACATTTAGATTAAAATTGTTCAACGGGCCTCTGCGAGTTGGCTTCGGCTCCTCGTACGCCTTCCAATGTTCCGGGACCCTGTGGTCCCGTGAAAGGAAAGAAGATCATACTTAAATAGTTTTAATAAAATAAATAACGGTCGGCTTTTCCCTTTTATACAGGTTTACTTAAAAAAAATATAGGGGGTGACCCCTATATTTTTTTAGAGAGACTCCTTAAAAACTACCCCGTTCTTTCTCCTAGTCCAGGTCAGGAGGTCATTATTCCGCTTCATCCGCAACCCCGGAACCCAGTCTTTAGCAAAATTGATTATAGGACTTTAAAACCATTTTAATGTTTATTTTCTTTGTCCGTGCGGGAATTGCACGACAGAGGTTCCAGGTTCCCCATGTAAAATAAATAGTTATACAATTAGTATTATTAATTATTCTTTATTAATTTATTAGTATTAGGTATACGATATTTCTCTGCCGGATCACCTCGTTTCTGATTCGATCTCGCAGAGAAACGCCGAGCATAGCCCTCTCCATAGCTCGCTGAGTGACTTTTAGCTTGTGAACCAGCCGCACCGTCAGTGTCCACGTTTCGGCTCCGTATGTCATGACAGGTAGGACGCACTGATTGAAGACTTTCGTCTTTAGGCACTGTGGGATCGACGACGTGAAGACTTGACGCAGCTTTCCATATGCTGCCCAACCTAGCTGAATTCTTCTATTCACCTCGTTCTCGAAGTTGTTTCTACCCATCTGCAATGTCTGCCCGAGGTATACATATTTTTGAACGACTTCGAGAAAAAACCAAGGTAATCGACATAGCCCACCGGATTAGCAAGCTGAAATGGCAGTGGGCTGGCCATATTAGCCGAAGAACCGATGACCGTTGGAGTAGACGAGTTCTTGAGTGGAGACCGCGTCTCGGCAAACGTAATGTAGGACGTCCTCAGGCAAGGTGGAGTGATGATTTGCGCAAGATGGCTGGCAGGAGCTGGATGCGAGTGGCCGAAGATCGATCCCAGTGGCGTGCAATAGGAGAGGCCTATGTCCAGCAGTGGACTGAAAAGGGCTGATGATGATGATGATGATGATACGATATTTTTACATATAAGTTTCATGAAACATGTAATGAACAGTTTACATGCTTATTTGGTACGCAGGTCAAAGAAAAACATATATTGATCTAGTACAAAGACAATATTTCTCTATTGAACCACCCAACCTATGGCTTTATTGAAAACCTTATCATTTACTTATCTGAAGATCTATAAGGGGTACATAGGTTTCTTGGAATACGGTAGTTTCCAACTAGTCAAATTCAATTCTTTTATCCAAATGTCAAAAACGATACTTTTCTATGAAATTTGTATGAAAAACTGAGGTATGACGTCATAACAGTTTTGCGTCAAATAGCTTACTTATTTCGTAATAATGAGCTAAAAAATCTATAACTTAGTGTATCGATCGATCGATGAATAAAAGTATAGTTATTTTTCAATATTTTATTTTATTAAAACGTCGAATTAATTTATTTTTGACCAAGGACACTACCCAATTTCAATCCCTTTCTCCAAACTTTACATTGGATAACAAATAAGAAAATAATGTTATTAATGTGTAATAACACGAAAAACAATTAATTAATCGGAACATACCTAAGTACAAATTAATTAAATACAACACAATCTAACCCGAGGCTGATGAATTGAGAAGCTGATACATAAACACTCGGTACATTTTACCCCGGGGAATTGCCCTCGAAATCAGCTATTACTTATTTAAATGGTTACCACAAAGCGAGACTGATTGACGAAAGCTTGACTGTGTTCTTAGTAAACGGAATTCATTATATATGATTTTGTTTTCAATTTAACTACATTTTCTTTAGCTATTTATTTAAACATTAATACTTACTATATTTGACAAAACTTTGGCTGTGAAAAATCTTTGAAAGTCCTCTGCGAACACCCGCCTGTTCATGCCATGGTGACTGGAATTTATTTTTAATAATGAGTTACGACATGTCACTGAGAAGATCTCTACTAGTTTCAAGTCATTACGGGACTCTTATTCATGAGCAGCGACGAAACGTTCCGCAGCCAACTTCACTTAGTTGATAAACGTGACTAGACCGTTACTTTCTATAGATACACAATTATACATAAACAGAATAGTGTATTTAGTTACTTAACTAATTTAATACAAAATAAATAGTGACCAAATGAAGATAGTAATAATTGTAATTAGTATTATATTAGGTAATGAACGTCTAATACATCGTAAACAAATTATGAGAAGAGCAAAGAATAGAGACATTTGGATCATTTTATATATATTTGTAGATACACAATTTAAAACTAACTTGTCCATAATATTAACCTTAATAAGATATAATATTTAAAACAAAAAACATATAGTACAAAGTTCTTATAATTATGTATAAATGCTCGCTCAAATTCATTATTTAAAAGACTTAGAATAATTTTCTAGAATTGTCCAAATCGAAACTTATTTAAGCTTTGAACTCAAATAGCATACTTATTTATTGAAAATCTACAAAAAAAAAACGAATATTCAATGTATCGAAAAGCCAATGAATAAAAATGCGATTGTTTTTTAATATTTTATTACAAAATAAAATCTAAACAATTTATTTTTATCCACGTCTGTAACTCAATTCTGTACGATTTTATAAAAAAAAAAGTGAGACCACAGATAAAATTATCAGTATGATTTGAACAAACTAATTCTGGTGATTCCGCCTCAATCGAAATTATTAACTTAATGTTATTTATTACCTGTTTACTCATTTATTTATACATATTTTATTGACCAACAAACAAAATAGTCGCACAACTTGTATTTTACATTCATACATGAATTTTTTGTTCTTAGGAATGCGATCCCGTCTACAACTTTATACGTTATGCTGACGTTTATTGTTATTTATTTTAATTTTTTTTTCAGAACTATATTTAAAAGGTCACAAAGCTTGAATAAACCTATTTTGGAATATTTAGTTGTAAATACCAATAAAGTATTATTATATAATACATATATATTTTTGAAGCTTAAGGAATATTTAAAACGAACATTCGTGGCTTTGTGTGTCTAAAGGTATTATGTTGTGTGTCTTTGTGTCTGTCGGTAGGCGACTGGCTATCGCGCAACGTGTCGCAGGTTCGATCCACAAATTGTTGTTCTGGGTCTGAGTGTGATGTGTATGTGAAATTATTTAAATATAATAATATGTTTGCAAACGCACCAACGACACCGGAAAAAATCTGAAGGGTGTATTTTTTTTTTAAAGGTTAGATCGCGTTTTTTATTAAATAAAAGCGAATCGTAGATTTTGTATCAAAATGTCAATGTTCTGAAATTGAAGAGGCAGCTTCTAAAACCTGCTAAAACACATTTACCGTCAGACATACATAACTCCTGACAATATAAGAAACCCAAAATATCTAAAGTTTGAATCACACCACACACCACACATTCAATGATATATGTATATTCTGCAGTCACTCTTGTCATTTAATAAACGAGTGATTTTTATTTTAATCATCTAAGTAATAATTTTAATGATTTGTGTCATAATTTTTGCAATACCAGCATTTACCTGCGCATCGAATACATGTGAGCACGTGCGTTACACCGCCTATGTCACGCATAAATAAATGCTGATATCAAAATCAGCCCACATTCTGCTTTGATTTCATAATATCCTAACTAACAAGCCTGTTAAACAAATAAGTAAACGACGCTTGTACTTTGCTCAGTTGCATGTGGCATTTTAAAGTTACTAAGTAAAAGTGATAGTGCGTCTGTCTTAAAATTTTCTATAGAATAATGGTCTAAAAATCCAAGTTAGCAACAGTAGGTTAATGTTCATAGCAACAAATATTTTCATAAATCGGAAGACATAAAAATCATTGTCATTAATGGGTTCAACGAGACGCTAGTCTAGAAATGAATAAAAACAATCAGTGTCTGTGTCATTGGACTATTTAAGTGGAATGTGTAGCGTAAAATTGAACATATAGAAGGCTCATTGAGACCGAATCTCGGTGGGCACGTGGTAGCTAGCGTGGACCGCGGCAAAGCACCTCAGTAGCGGTCAGTCCGACTCATCTGCTTCCAAGCAGTTGACCAATTACGTCGTCTCGAAAAAATTAAGCGGAACAAAAAAAAAATGTGAAAGGGTCTCTCTAACTACACAAGTGTTCAGTAACGTGTTAAAATAATATATTTACAATATTATCAGCTTGTTTATAGATCGTGTTTGTGGGAAATCCGAACAATCTGTTTACATTTCGTACCCTCAATAAAGGTGTTACAATTTAAGCTTTGAGCAAATAGCATCTGTACAATTGACGATAACATAATATTTATAAAACCGCTACCTCGGGGAGGAACGCAGGATTGTGACAATGGATGTGAAGGGCAAAATTGTTGAGTGTGAGGATGTGGACAAATATGAATACGTGCCCCCCGAAGGGGGATGGGGGTACATGGTCTGCGTCGGGCTGTCTGTCATCTTTGTAAGTAATGTTCTTGTTACGTTTTTATTTATTTGCCTTCAGTTCAGTTGAGCTTTAGCTTTTGTTTTGACGAAGAGTTTTTGCAAGTTTATTTTTTTTCGTGTGATATAATAAAAACGATTTATTAATAAAGAACTGAATTATTAGGATTTAGATAAGAAATTTAAAAAAAGGATATACATATATATGTAAGAATGTTGGATAAAGGATTTAAAAAAGAAAAATATGATTTAATTATTATTTTATAAAAGTGATTAGTACGATTTTTACGTTATTCAAAAGTTTTTTATGTGACCATTCGGAATGCAAAAGAAAAATATTTTTAAATTTAAATATGTTTTTTAACGTCTTACGAGCTTTTCTATTTCTATTTTAGAAAAATAATTTAAATTACATTTAAACAAAATTAATTATGTAATTTATTAGAAATTTCCATTCTAACTACTTGTTCCTATTGCTACCTATCAACTTCTATTAATGACTTCTTAATAACCGTTTTTTTTTAAGTTCATAACAATTGATAATATTGAACAACCGGCCGAATGCCGTTGGAGGTCACAAATAAATTTTATAATTCGGTGGTCAAATAATACAGCTAAACAACTTGGGTTTAATCTCTATTAGGTTTTTTTGAGTGAAATATCTCCCCCCGTTTGTCGTTCTGTGGCGAGAGAGAATGTCAGACTATTACTGACTAAAAACCATCCTGTTCCTTCTTCTGCTCCAGGTCCGTGGTACAATATTGCGCTGTCACTGACAAACCTGGTTCATGATAGGACTTGTCTATTACTGTTAAGGCTTCATGTAATATAGAAATCCTCTATTTATTATTAGAATAAACATACATCAATACTTACAATAAACAGTAATTATTTAATATATTAATCAACACTTACAATAAAAAGAGATAATAATACGTTTGTTTAACACGCTAATTTAAAAATATATATAAAGAGAAATTGATTTACTGACATATCAACGCACAGTCTAAACGGCTTAACGAAGACACTTGAAATTTGGAAGGGACGTAGCTTAGGTTCCGTAGAGGTGCACTAGGGAATTCCCGAAATTTCCACAGAAACGGGAATAAGTGAGGAAATCCTTTTGTATGAAAAATCAAAACTGTTAAGTTAGAAGTAAACGACACAATAGTGTTTAAAAATGCCAGGATGCATTACTTTTACAACCAATCTCAATCAATCCAGTCTCAATAATAAACGCGAAAGTTTTGAATCTTTGTAACTCTTCCACATAAAAAATACTGGCTAGATCTAAATAGATGACAGTCGGAAAAAAAACACATACCTATGCTAGTTATACTGGTACTGCGGTCAAAGCCGCTGGCAGAAGCTGATTCTTAACATGCCCTGGTAATATGCAGATAGTGTTTTGTTTTCGAATTTGGAATAAAAATGACAGTGTTTTACGACGATTGTACGGGTAGAAGCTAGTTGGTAAAATAAAAAAAAAAACAAAATATTACTATACCTATCTACGTTTAATAATAGACAAGTATTTGCTGCAAGCTGATTTTTCAATAGTCAGATAAATGTTATCTGAGGAATATAATTGTTGCCGTCACTGTCTTATGGAAACATTCTGACGCGACAGCATCATAATAATAGCACATTTTTTTTATCTAACCATTGAAAAATCAGCCCTAAGCAGAGTAAGCAGTGTCATAGTGGATCATGCAAAAGGGTGAATTCTAGCCTACTAGAAACCTGACCAATGCACATAGGAGTATTTAACACAAAAAGTCGATCAAAAGTCGAATATTACAAAGTATTAATAGAAGGTAGTTTTTGCTACCTGGTAAAACGGTAGGGTCGGGGGGACAATAAACCGCTTGATTCTCTTTTGTTCTTGCTAAAATTCCGTTCACAATCAGTCGTCTTTCTAACGCAAGCTTCATCGCACGAACTTAATACGCAGTGAAAGTGAGTCAACTTAATTGTTAAAAATAAGCGTGACAGTTAGATTACTCGGAATAAATCATATTTTAGTTATTGACGGTGCAGAACAAGGTATGTAAAATTTATCCTACTATTTTTTTTCGTAATATATACCTTTAACAATTATTTACTTCATCTTTTATGGGGTACATTAAAATGATGAGTCGATTTTAGCCTTTTCCAATATTTCAAAGTCTTTTTGTTGTATTTCCGGACTTTTCCCGGGTCAAATTCTTTTTTCATCTTATTGTTAGATATGTATAGTAGAAATTTAAAAAGAAAATAGCTGCCAACATGTGCCAAAATGAAAACATTTTGAAAATTAAGTGCATGTGGTATTTACAAAAACAAACTTTATTTTGCGGTCACTTACGTTAATTTCAGATTTCTCTTGTTGTAGGTTCTGCTGGTACACAGGTCGTGACGCGAAATTATGTTTTCCGAAAATTTAGGGAATATACTGAACCAGATTTTGGAAAAAACTTGGATTTATTGGAGTTTGAAATAATTAATGACTCTTCATTCCCAACTGATCAAAAATCAAAGTTTATTCAAATATTTTCTCGTCTCAAGTCTGTAATGAAGTCTAATTGGCAGACACCAAAGCGAACAGAAAGTGTATTTTTGAAAAAATACCATGATTGGTTACAAGGCACTCTTGAAATACCGAAAAAAAAATTGAAAATCCCGATACGGAAGATGTATGTAGAATTATACGCATGGTATCCAATGACTTCACAAAATTTTAATACATGGGCCTACAGTTATTAGACACGCCATACTACCAATAGGGGCATTATCAGAAGAAGCTGCAGAGGCTCGTCATAAACATTTTAGAAAATTCAGGGAACAATATGCAAGAAAATTCAGTAGAATTGACTGTAATATGGATGTCTTAAATAGATTATTATTAACTTCAGACCCAAATTTGACAAGTATTAGTGTCTAAAAAATCAATACATTTTAAACTAGAAACTAGATAAACGTTAATGTCCTACGAAGTTGATAAGGATAAAGGGAATGCAGAAGATAGTGAACATGATTCAGATGAAGAAGAGTAGTTATAACATAAGCAATTTAATTAATTTTATAATTTATTAGTTTATAAGTTTTTAATTACTACGTCTAAATTGTTAATGATTGAATGAAACAAATAGTGACACTATTTGTTTATTGCAATCATTAACAATGATTTTTTTACACTTATTTCAAATTCCTGTTAAAAAATATATCAAAATAGTTTTTTTTTAACTTTTGGAGTACATTTTAATGCCAATAAATAAATTATAGCAAATAAATAATTTTGATCGACTTTATTGATCAAATACCCCTATGTGCAATGTGACGTTTCTTTCAAAGTTTATTATAGCCTTTTTAACGTTGGAAATCCATTCGATACAAAGCCAAAATTAATCCAAAATTTAAAAAATCCATATGATATAATAATATGCGGTAGAAGTCCTGCACTGGCTAGGAAGATCTAAATAAGTTGTTTATGTTTAAAAATAACTCGCTAAAAAGAGTACAAAAACGTTTGATAAGAAACGCAAATTAGGTGACTCTTTTATTTACAACATGAAGATAAAAAGTACGGATGTCTTGTTTTCAAATAGTATTATGTATGTATGTTTGTTATTATATTATCAGAATAATAATAAAATTTCTAATTATATGCCATTATATGCCAAAACGTAAACAGTAGAAATGGCTCGTGCTACATTTAAAAACATAATTTAATCATCAATACATTACTAAACTTATCTTGAACATTAATCTTAAAAAAAATTGGCATAAAAAAGTCAAACACATTTTTAAATGCTTGTCAAGTTATTATTTACATTTTATTAGTTACGAACTAGAAAAAAAAAACTTTTGAATTGTAAACACTATTTTAATTAATAATAATTTAATTTTACGATTAAATTTTATTGGAGAGAAGATATAAAAAAGGTTTTTTTGTATATTCTTACTTAAGTTATATTATGGAAAAACACAGGATTATGTGTCTGACATAAATTTTCTCTGCTGCTAGAAGCTTTTATGGCAAAAAACTAAATTAAATTATGTCTATGGCGAGTTATAAATACTATAAAATATTTTCTTCGACTATAATTGTATCTAATAATAGTATTATCTAAATTCTTGGCAAGTTTTATTTAAATAGCTACGACATTTTTGAATAAAATGACGAAATACCTAGACTATATTATCCTCTAATTGATGTTCTTAATGACGTCTAGAATTTTTATTATAACACTCGTCGTAATATTGTTTGTATAATACATATTTATATATTAAACTAGTGGCCCGCCCCTCCTCCAAACGGGTGTCCAAGAATTATCCGGGTTGCTATTTCCCGATTACACACTAAACTTTTTTTAAATGTGGGAGAGCCATGCTTCGCGACGAATGGGTCGGCTCGACCGGATTGATACCACGGCTTCACAGAAAACCGGCGTGAAATAACCATAGCGTTGTGTTTCGCCGTATCAGTGACGGTTACCGGAGACCTAATCCTTCCCCTCCCCCAATCCCTAATCCCTAATCTCTAAAAAGCCGGTAATGCACTCGTAACTCCTCTGTTGCGGGTGTCTATGAGCGGCGCTGATTGCTTACCATCAGGTGATCCGTCTGCTCGTTGGTCGACCTATTACATAAAAAAATGTTTTTGACAAGAATCTTCAGATGATTATTGCTCGGAGACATTTACAAATATAACAAATCAATACTTTACAAAATTAGTCCAGCCGTTTTCGAGTTATGCGCTAACCACAACACATTTTTATAAATAATATGTGTATAATAGATAGATAATTATATTCCAGTAAATTACATTATAATGTATGTACATATTTTCTTTCTGTTATGTTAATATTGATCAATATACTAATTTAGACTATCAATAAGTTTGGAAATTCCCAAAAAAAGTTTTAAATAAGAATTGAAACCTAAGTATCGATTTCAATACAACCTCGTTATCACCTTTTTTGCATATTTAGACTACAAAAAGAATTTAAATGTAAAAAGCAGATAAATGCGTCTCGG